AACTCAATTTCCCTAATGTCAATGAGTCCTTAATGCTGCCTATCATGCTTTTTTCTTTGGTCTGGCTTCTTTTCTAATTTCCCATCTGAAACAATTATTTATACCTTCTCTTTCCAAACCTCCAGTATCTCCTGCCCTATCCTCATCTCAAAATCATCTTGCTCTTCATTTCACTGAAAATAAAGATAATCAAAAGAAAACTTCTAGGATATCCAAAAGGCTAATAAGCATATTAAAAGCTTCTTAACATCATTAGTCATTAGGAAATGCAAATTAAAACCACAATCTGATATAACCACCACCCACAAGAATGGTTACAATGACAGATAGGAATAGTCATACATCACTACTGGCATACGTCATTAGGCAATTTCATCATTGTGTGGACATCATAAAGCATACTTACACAAGCCTAGATGATATAGCCTACTACACACCTAGGCCAAATGATACTACTCTTATGGGACTACCATCATATATGCGATCTGTCATTGACCAAAACGTCATTATGCAGAGCATGACTGTATTAGCAAGTGGAGCAAATGGAACTCTCACACCTTGCTAGTGGGAGTTAAATTGGCAGATCATGCTGTAAAACTATGTGGCAGTATTCACTAAAGGTGAACATATGCACACCTTATGACCCAGCTATTTCACTTCTAAATACATACCCAATTGAAATGTATACGTATGTTCCCTATAAAACATGTTCAGGAAAGTTCATAGGAGCATAGGTCATAATAGACAATAGCTGGAAACAAATGTTCATCAACAATAGAACGGATCAACTATGGTATATTTGTATAATGGAATATTACGTAGCAGTGACAATCATTGAACTACTGCCACACACAACAACATAGATGAAACTCAATGTTGAGTCTAAGGAGCCATAAAGGAAAGAGAACACAGTATTTACAAAAAAAATTCAAAAACAGGCAAAATATGGTGTCAGGACAGTGGTTATCTTTGCAGCAGCTTGGGTAGTAATTGGAAAGGGACATGGGCGCTCTGGGTTGCTGGTAATGTTCTGTTTCTTGATCTGGGTTCTAGTTACACGGGTGTGTTCACTTTGTAAGAACTGAGCTATATATTTGGGATTTTTATACATTTCTATATATATATTATAGCTCAGATAAAAATATTACAAAGTGAAAGATAGACCTCCACAAACTCCTAGCATGACATTGAGCCATCTGAGTCCATCCACCCTGCCTGCTCTCCTGTTACTGTGGGTGAATCCATGCTTCCTTCAGAGAGAGGCCCTTGTTCCTGTGCACTACACAATTACCCCGCTTCTTCATACGGATGTCACTCTGGGAAGTCTCCCGTCTCATTCCTATTCCTCTTAGCTAGATCTTTCCTGTCAATCTACAAACACTCCATAACTTTTCTAATTTTTAAAACAACTTCCTCTTCACCTTCATTTCTTGTACTGTTTTTCTCCTTCTCTTGGCTTAAAGCAAAACTCAAGATTTATCTACACTTGCTGAATCCAGATTTGTTCTAACGTTCTCGTTGAACCACCTCCAATCATGTTCTCACCTCCACTCCACAAAAATTGATCTTACCAAGGTCACCTCCACATTGTTAAATTCAATAGTCCCTTCTTCATCCTCATCTTCCATGACTTTCAGCAGCTTTAGGCGCTGTCATCCACTCCCTCTTTCCTGAATCACTTTCCCCTCTAGGCTTCCAGAGCACTCCACACCCAGTTTTCCTTCTACCACACCAGCTGCTCCTTTTCAACCTTCTTGTGTTTGTTCCTCCTTATCTCTCTGACCTCTGCATTTTGGAAAGCCCCAAAACTCATTTGGGGGCCTCTTTTCTATCTATGTTCACTCTGTTGGGACTCTCATCCAGTTTTATGACTTTACACAATTCATAAACTGATGAACAGCAGATGTGTCTCCAGTCCAGAGCTCTCTTCTGAATTCAGATTCCCGTCACATCCATCTCTTCAACTCAGATGTCTAATAGACATCTCCAATTTTATATGTTCAAAATCAAACTCCTGATCTTCCCCTAAAAACCCACTCCTTTACAGGTTTCCTGTCTCAATTAGTGATAACTCTATCCTTCCAACTTATCATCAGGACCAATTCCTTGGAGTCATTCCTGACTCCTCCATTTCTCTCGTAAACAAACTCAATCTGTCAGCAAATCCTCGAATTGAAACTCAAAATATTTCCAGAATCTGACCACTTTCACCACTTCTACTGCTGCTACCCTGGTCCAAGCCATTATTGCTAGCGCCCAGATTCCTGCCACAGCCTCCTAACTGGCCTCCCTCCTTCCACCCTCGTCTCCCAACCGGTCTGTTCCCAATGCAGCAGCTAGGGTCATCCTAAAATGTTAATCAGGTCATGTCAGTCCTCTACTCAGAACCCCTCAATGCCCTCCTATTCACTCAGAGGAGAAGACAAAATCCATGTAATGGCTTACAAAGGCCTTCAAAATATACCCTCGTCCCCTGTACTCTTAACTTCTTCTTCCCCTCCTTTTCTCTGCTCCATTTACACTAGCTTCCTTGCTGTTCCTCCAACATGGCAGGTGCGTTCCTGCTTCAGGGCCCTAACAGTCTTTCTTCTTGGCCCAGATGCTTTTCCCCCAGTTATCCTCATGGGTCATTCCTTCATCTCCTTCAGATATTTGCTAAATGTCATCTTCTCATTAAGGGCTTCCCTGACCACACTGTTTAAAATTTGAAGCATCCTCCCTCCCCACTCCACTCTCCTAAGGTCTCTATCACTTCCTTCATTTTCTTTCTAGTACTTGTCTCCTTCTAGTGTACATATGTATTACTTATCTGTTCAGAGTCAGTTTCCCACTGGTACGTGAACAACATGAGCATGGGGATTTTTGTCTCTTTTGTTGACTGCCATATCCCCAGTGTCAAGAACAATGCCTGGTAAATAGTAAAAGCTTAGTTAATATTGGTGAAGTGAATGAATGAGTTATTTCATTGCGTGTCATACACTCAAGCTTCATAGAGACAGGAACCATATCTTAATCATCTATGTAATAAATGACTGACTAAATGGAAGAAGTAAGACCAGATCTGCAGCTCAGTTAAGGTACTTAAGGCAGGCAATATACTTAATTGTTCTTTTCATCTTTAATCCAAATACTTGATCTCCCCAAATAAATTATGTCACCTGTTCCCAAACAAGGTTATTATCAATTGCCTTTTCCTCTTTTCTTAAAAAATTTTCACTCCATCAAGAGAACAGCAAAGATCAGAATAAGCAGAGTGTGCAGCAAAAGTATAGTTATTAAGACAATGCTTACCAATTGTCTACAAATCAAGAATAAAGAGGAAATCCAAACCTCTAGAGGTAATACAAACATAGTTGCTCAATTCACTTATACGATTTTTCCCTCCCAGAGAAATGTTAAAGAAACAGATATGACTCCAAGGGAAGGAAAAATCAACAGATGTGTTGGTTTAACTGTTTGAATTCTAAAATACACTAAACACTTGAGGGAGAAATTTGATCCTTCTGATATGAAGACCTGATGTTAATAAAGAAAAGAGCACTTCCTATTCAGCTGAATATATTTCTAGAGAAAATTTCAACGCTTGGAAAATTCCAGACTTATTCCCTCCAAAATAAATTCACATTTTAATCTTTTTACTTTACTTATATAAAATTTAATAATTTATTTCACATGAAATCTTACAGAGGAAGTTGGCTATGAGGCCAAAGACCTAAGTCTTTTTCTCAGAAAACGTGTGCTCAGGGAAGCTTTCCGGCCCACCTCCCACAGCAGCAGTGCACCCCCATCCAGCCCCCTCAGGGGAAGACCAAGGACAGTCACAAAGGCTAGTAGGTGGACAGGTCCACGATCACCACTGTTGGGAGCAGACGCTACACGGTTCATCTGCTGAGCACGTGACTATTCATCAGTCATCTCCTTGGTGGGGTGAGGAGCGAAGAAAACTCAATAGTATGGCACAGGTGAGTTGGTGGTGGCAATGCCTACGCCCAAGGGAGTACAACCTCACAAAAAGCAATCACTAACTTATGAGAAAAGTCACTGTGTCAGCCACAGTGCTAATGATGTCAGAGTACAGGGGTTGCAGGGAAAGTTCATAGAGAAAATTTGATTAACTGAGTCACAATCAGAACACGGTAATGACATCATGACATATTAATGAGAACATCATTCTAATTACACCAATTAATTTGTATATAAATCACTTTTCCAGAGCATAGTGTCTGCCAAAGATCAGCTGTAGTATATACAAGACAGGCCTATCTTTCTGTATAGTAACCTTTGCCCATCAGATCAGCTGTCGTATATACAAGATATGCCTATCGTTTTTATAGTCACCCTTGACCATCACAGAAGAGCATAACTAACGGCCAATTGTCTGATAATTATCTCTGGAGCTTTGGAAAGCAAAGTGTTTCACTGGGTAACATTAGGGGGTGAGCAAATACACACACACACAACTGTCTCTCCACAAGGAAATGTATAAGCCACAGAACCACAAATAGTGACACTTCCATCACATACTTAAATAATAGAGTTTTGACTCAAGAGACCTAAACGTTGAACAACCAGCCTTCCTGGTTCAACTAGACAGCCCTAGTTTATTCTTGTTTCCCAACATTGTTTTAATAGTGCAGACCCCCCACCCCAACTAAAATATGTTCCAGTTTAGACAATAAATTATACAATGACCTTACGTAAATAGCATTATCTTTGCTACGGAATGTTAAGCTTTAGCTGTGAAGCTGGCAAAAGGAGTGCTGTAATTTTCCCATAAGGATATGGGTAGTCAAATTGGTTAAATCACCCTGCCTTTTCTCTTACAGAAAAGTCATGGATCTGGCAATGTAAACAAAATGAGGAGGGCTTTCAATAATAAAAGAATCAGCTCTGTTCCTCTATATTCTTTCGATTTGCTATTTATACAGCCTGCCATGCGCATTTTAGAATAGTGGGGATTCTCTTAGCCAGCCCCCAGGGATTTTAAATATCATCAACAGTTATCAGAAAAAGTCTCACACTTTTATTTCTGGCTTACTAGACAAAAAGCAAAGGTAGAGTTTTGGACCAGCAGCTATTTATTTTTAAGTTAATGGTACAAAAGAGAAGCCCTTTTTCCATCAAAGTCCCCCTCCCCACTACCAAGCCTAAAATTATCAGGAACGGCATCTCCACAGAGTGGAAAAACTGACACCAAACATTCAAGTGAAATCCAGGGTCCCCTGCCACACTTCTCCTCCCTTAATCTCCCAAAGAACTCATTCTCATTCTCACTCTGTGAGAAGGTCAGTGGAGGAGCTGTTGAGAGAACAGTCAGGGTTCACCCAGGGCAGCAACGTGCATGGAAACAGACCCACTCACCCACACTCCAGAGCAGCCCACTTACCCTGGGGGACGCCATGGATTCCAGAGCCCTGATCTCCCACCCACACTGTCCCGGCACATTCTGGGCATGTTTGCACATGTTCCTGCCCTCACCCAGGTAGCAATTCTCTCACAGGGTATCTCAGAGTTCAGTCCCGTAGACAGCCTTATAACGTAAGTACTCTTCTAAGCACTGAAGAACATTATCATCCACCTTTGGGTCAAACTTGTTGGCCAACAGGTGATGGTTCTGAAGAATCCAAGGCAGGTCTCCAGTTCCATAAATACAGATAGCCCGCTGGTGGATTCCAGAGCAAGGTTCATAAGGTGCCCCCATACTGATGTTTCCCTCATGGCCCTGCCACTTGACCAGCCTAGCAATGGCAGTCATGTCTGAGATGTGAAACTTGGGGTGATAGGGAACAGAGCCAGGCATCCATGGTGCACGCTGAAGGGTGGCCCAGAGGTGTTCATCGGGGCTATAGGTGTCTTTTACCCATTCAATCAGCTGTCGTGATTTGGGGTTCTCTAAGACATGTTCAATAAAGCTTCGAGAAGCCACAATATAGGCATTACCTGTGAACATAGGTAAATTGTCAGGAGGAGGGTCCTTCATTCTGCTGGTTCTGTGCAGTGTGTCTGTCACTTCATAGTGATATTTCCAGCGAGATTTTTTGTACTCAGTAGGTATCTCTGACTCCATACTGTTCTTCCCATTCAACATCTTGAGGGCCAGGACCATCTCAGCATTGGTCTTTATAGGAAAGTCTGTCCCGCATGTATTTAGGAAGTATTTCCATGGAACTGAGCTCCGGAGCAAGTCTTCCATGCAGTTCAAGTCAGCCTGCACCCTGGACCAGGAGGCATAAACCACCCGAACCAACTTACTGGCCAAGAAGACATTAGGGAAGCATGAAATAATTGCTTTGACTGCCTCCTTGAAAGTCTCTGGGGACTTCTCATCCACGTGGATACAGTATATGTTCTGAGGGGCATACACAGCTCGCAGAAGCCTTTCAAAGTTTTCAATCTTCTCATGGACCACCATAGAGTATGCAATAGGGAAATCTAACTCTTCCTTGCTCAGTGGGAACTGTATGAACTTCCTTTCGGCCTTAAAGTGTTCACAGTCTCTGGTCATGTTGAGGTAGTCGGTGTCTGTGAAAGGCTCCCGCTTCTTCTTCGTGTCCAGCTTGTCCAGGAGAGCCTCTCCCAATGCTGTGCGGTCCCCACGGATGATCCCAGAACAGTTGATGGGTCTCCTTGCTGGCAGCTTCAGGGCCTTGTACAAGATATCCCGACAGCGCTGGCTCTGAAAGTCCCTGGACTCCAGACCCAGGGAATTAAAGTCACATTTCAATCTGAGAGAAAATCTCAGAGCAACAATGGCCAGCAGCATATAGCAGCCCAGGGCCAACAGACAACGCTGCCGGAAGAGTGTCTTCTTCCACCGAAGCATCTTCATGGCATAGCAGACTGGCAGGGTTTAGGCACACGGAAGGAGGAGGAGGAATCCTTGGACAGAACAAAATGCCTTCAGTTACAAACTAACCCTGAACACGCTCATAGGAACATCAAGTTCAACTCCAAAGTGATGGCAAAAATCTATTTCTTTAGACACAAATCCTCAGTCAAGACCTGCCTAGGAAAGTCTTACACCAGCATACTGATAGAGGTCTACAACCTGACCCTACAAACTAGCTGATCATGCCGGGACCAGGAGCTGGCACCACTACCCTGCGAGAGAGACAGGGAAGCAGATCTGAGCACCTGCTGACGCAGAGGTGTAATTAGTAAGAGGAAGTCCCCACCCTTCATTCCTCATGCTGCCCCCAACGCCTTACCACCCTGTTTCTAACCTAGCTCTTATCAGGGGCCTAGAATTTCTGCTCAGTCTAGAGAGAAAAGCCATGAAACTCAGACTCTCGCTATCAATTCTAGAAATCCAAAGGTCCTTTTAAAATAAAAAGTACATTTGTTTCTCTCATGGGCAGTTTATATATTGGGACACTGTCACCACATATGATTCATTGGTCAGATGTGCTATCTAGCCACCCTTTAAAAAAAATGCTCTTAAAGAAGTACAAAAAATTGGATATAATCCAAAAAATGCATTGTAATCGTTCATAGAGATAAGTCTTAGTGTATCAAAATTTAAAATCTATCTACACAGGGAGACACACAGAGCTATACATATACAATATCTATTGAGTGCTTTCTATGGGCCAGAAATATTTCTTTACATTGTCCCATTGAATCTTCACAACATACCTGATATGTAGTATTAGGCCTCTTTTATATATAGGAAAACATAAGCTAAATAACTTGCCAAATATCACATATATTCTAAGAAGCAAATCTGAGACTCCTCTCCACTCCCCCTTCCCCCTAATTTTTCTGTCTGTAAACCTAATACTTGTTCCTCCAAACACAGCTACCTTTTAAATACAATACAGGGTACCGAGTACCATCAAAGAAAACCAGATAGTAAAGGGGGAAGAAACAAAATGTGACAGCAATGATTGTTTTCCCTTGTTACATCCTCTTTCTAAACATAAGATTGTATCCTCTTTAGTAATAACTTTCATGGGACTCTAGAAGGAAGAAAAAACGAGAAATTAAGAAAACTCTCACCTTTAATAGCTTCTTGCCTGTTCAGGGAAGCTCTCTTGTCAGAGTGTGTTTCTGTTTCCAAGGGAAGATCGCTTGGGTTCCATGGAAGCAAATGTGTACACTATATCCCCTGGTCTTTTAGCCCCTCCAAAATATATTTTCTGATATCCGCAGGATGTCCAAGAAACTGTCTCAGCCTCTTCCTTAATCCCTGGAAAGTAGAGAGCAGCAGGTGGCTCCATCACTAACCTTTCAGCTTCCTGTCCTCAGGTAAAGAGCAAGCTCAGATATAACATTCAGGAGCATATTCTCAAGTGCGAGTCATTCAGTGCGGTGAGCGAGGCAGGAAAAAAACGCTGGCAGTATCTGAGAGGGCAAGCAGGTATTTCAACTAGAACAGCCCAGTTTGTACCTCTGCCCTCCTGCCACACCATTCATAAAAACCTGTCAACTCTCATACATGAACTTGAAAGCTTTTTTCCACCTTAACAAGGAACTGTAGAAACACACAAGTATGCCCCTGTCTTCTACTGGCCTGGAGTCCAAATGTCACGCCTCTTATGTTCTCCGAATATGACAAGAGTGGAGCAATAAAAATACCCTTCAAGGATTGTTTTCATTTTTTTACTTAAAAAAAAAAAAGTCAATGAAATCCGAGTTTATTCTTCAAATGGCACCTGCTCAAACAAATCCATTTGCCTGACTTTCCATGACAATCTATAGGTTGTAGAAACATCCACAGGGTTCCAGAGTATAGATCTCTCTCACTAATGTCTGTGAGTCTGGGGTTCTTGGAAGTCTGAAGAATGGCTAACACCACATGTGCCTGGACTTGAGTGACAGGCGCAGGGGGTGGGTTTGGCAATACAGTATGGGAAATGCCTTCTTCAAAGCTGCTGACATTGTTTGTTACTCCTGGCCTCTCTTCCTCCCTCACCCCCAAGCCAGCTCTCCAAAAACGCAGCATTCCTGGGCAAATATTTGAAATAGCAAATTTAATATAAAGAACTAGATATAGAGTTGTTAAACAAGTAACTAAAAGGGGGAGGGGGGAGGTGGGGGGAGGTTGGGGATAGACGACACCAAATTATTGGGGAAGTAGCAATTGCTGGAAGTAGCCACCACTCTTAGGCTGAAGGAATGAAGAAAAGATTCGGGAGTTTTTAAATTTAGAATTTGGGACGGGGGGTGCCAACCAGCTGAAACTTGGACCTCTGAGATGGGGACGCTACTCAGACGGGGCTGGGGCGTCTGGGCTCGGAGGAGGGCCGCAGGCTGAAGTCCAGACCTCTTATACAGGTAGCTGGTGTCTCTGTCCTCCGTTACTGTAAACTGGATTTAACGCAGCTACATAAAGTAACCACCACTGCACTGCCAGGTAAGCGGACGTTGTCATGGTGATGCTCACAGAAGCAGGAAGTAGAGAGGAAGCAGACAGGAAGTCCCGCTGCGGCCTTGCTGTCTCCTTCCAGCGCCCCCTGTTGGCAGAGCCTAATAGGACGCCCTTAGCAAAACGCAAAACGTGATTTATAGTCTCCTCTGGCGTCGCAGTTCTGAGTCCCGCGGGGGTGGGCTTCGTCTGAAGACAAAAGCGAGTTAACGGAGATCAGTGTGATCTTCCTACAAGGCTTGCTTACACAGCCGCCAATATAGCATAGGGAATTTAGGTCTTTTCTTTTTGGGGGACCTCCTCTGCCTGTTTCTGACTCTAGATGAAGAAAGGCCAATGGCAGGGAGTCATGCAGAGTCACCTGCGCCCCCACTTTTGTTGGTCCCGCTCCACGGCTCTGTCTTCTGCAGCTTCGGTCACTCCAGGTCTGACTCTGTTGTTGAGCTGTAAAATCTATGAGGCAAAAATGATTAAAGGATAAACACTTGCTCCAGTACCTGAAGGTAGAAAAATGTCCCCAGTTGGTCTTTATGTGACTTTTTTGATGGCTCCCTCAGAGTCCCACCTTCTTTCCCCCAAAAAATGAAAGTCTCTCAATAGGAAACATTTTGAATATTTTTTAAGGTGACCAAACGAGTATACACTCTTAATTGTTAAATATTCGATAATATAACTAACAAATTGTAGATATATTTTGTTGAGACAGTCTATGTATTAGGAATACTAAATGGGTGGCAGTTACGGGCACACCTGGGCTTTGGCAGGACACAGCTAGGTCTCAATCTTGGCTTTGCCACTTTCTAGCCATGTGAACTTGGGCAAATTCTGTAATCTCTCTGTGCTTCATTGACGTCTTTTGTGCAACTGGGGCTAAAACCTATGTGGTAGGCTTGTTGTGAAACTTCAACAAAATAACACATATGAGAGACTTGGGTTAACACCTGGCATATGCAGCGCCTCGATGAAGGTTATTGTTACGTAGGCTCCAGTGCCAGCCCGCAAAGGTCCTATTTCACTCACAGAATAGCTCAAAGAGGGTACAAATAGCATTCTTGAACTCTGGACCATGCAGAAGTATTGATGCTGGTGATGCGAGCAGATGAGTAAACCAAGGGAAAGACCTGGTATTGCCCCTTCTCTGTGCTCCTGAAAGAGACCCCACCCAATTCTAAGTGGTCAGTGTTAGCACCACAGAGACCAGGGATGAGCTGCAGCTGACCCCAGGGAAGTGCAGGAGAGAGAACAGAATGGCTGAGAGGGGCCCAGGAACATCAGGAGTGGGCAACCTCTAGAGATCAGATGCATGTTCGGAAATACAGTCAGCCAGTTCCACTCCTTAAGTCCATGTTGGCCTTGAGGAGCTGATGGGGCACTGGCAAAGAGAGGAAGGGCCGAGTCCCAGAGTGCCTGAGAACCCAGACCCAGGGTATGAGGCCCTTCCTTGGGGTTTCTTTTACCCCTGCTGAGGCCCAATGGCAGAGCCAGATGAGCTTCGAGGCAAATCCTGGAGCCAAGGGTCCAGGATTACACGAAGATATTTAGAAGTCCCAAGCATGGAAAATGATGAGGGCACTCACCTCCCTCAAGTATCCAACATAAAAGCAACATTAAACCAGATAATAGGTGCAAGGAAGTCCAACACAGTCGTGAGTTTCCCCGTAATGACTACCACTATGGTGCTGTTTGTGAAACAGCAGACTCTTCCCACCCAACCCCTCCATCCTTTTCTCCTAATCATGAATTTAGCCTGCCTGTTGGGCAAATAGCAATGCCTGCATCCCCTGAGTTTTGAATTATACATCCTTGTATGTTTGTGGGAGGGTCTAAGAGTTCCAGCAGTAGTGATAAATAAACGGCAAGCAATAGGATATACTGGAGTATATAAGGAAGCCATTTGGTGTAAAACTAATTCGGCCTAACCTTGTTTTTCCAAAAGGGGCTGACGTGGCCGTTGAGCATGCATTGTACATCTGCTTTAAGCATTTGCTATGTCCCAAAGACAAGAACAAATGCCCTTAAGATAAAGGTACAACTTCTCCCATGTTGGCATTTCCTTAGGATAAGCATCTCTCCCTAGACTAGGGATTGATTGCTGTGCTCACCCTGTGACCACCCAGCTCCAGACAACAGACCTGCTACCTGCTGTGTCCACTGAGACAGCAGACCTGCTACCTGCTGTGTGAATAACTGTGCTGTACTGGCTAGGCAATTTTATGAGTGTTGTAAAAGGATGTTCCTAGCATATGTGATGTGTGCTCTTTGTTCCAAGATGGTATATAACCACTCTGTACACCCTACTTCTTTAGCGCCCTTCCTTCCCCCAGGAAGCCCTCAGATCTGGCTCATAATAAACTCACCCCAATTTTGATTTATAGATTGGTTATGGATTATTTGCATTGACAGTGGGAAAGAGAAAAATTAAGCCTGGATCATCAGGGTGGATCTAGAAGAATCCAGTGAAGTTTAGTATTAACTTTGATGGAGGTTCAGGGGACCCTACAGTCCCAACAATAGGGTCAGAGGAGGGCCCAGGCAGCAGGAATCCAACCATTTCAAGGCGAATTTACAAATTGACAACTGTACTCCTTTACTTATTTTCCTATGGTGGCATTTACCTCTGGTAAGTGTTAGCTTTGTCTTCTCATTAGACTGGAAGCTCCTGGAAGTCATGTTTTTATCCCTCCTAACACCTAACGTAGTAGACATTACCAGAACTCCAAGGCTGGCCAGAAGAGAAAGCTTGCGTGTGATCACAGAGATCAAGGGTAGCCATTGACCAACAAAGAAGAGACCACAAGGCAGAGAGGCAGGAAGTGAGACTAGATAAGCAGACACAAGCCAAGTTAATGTGTCACTGGATGGGCTGGAGCTGAGGTTTGAAAGAGACTGAAGGTACTGAGGAAGATGGGGGCGGGGGGTGCTTTGACCCTGTTAATGTTGTGTGTCAGTGAGCTTTTGGCCCAAATGGGCTAAGATCTCTGGCCACAGAGAAGTGGTTAAAAGACCCAATACGATCACCTTTGTCTCTAATCAGGGTTGTAAAATGAATCTCACGCCCAGCAGTAGTTTGCTGGCTGGAGGAGCACCCTGCAGTCTCTCCTAGAGCTCCATTTCCTCTATGCGCCCAGTGCCATGCCTCCCCTGGGACACACTCCACATGACCTGGAGGGAAAGAGAAGAGAGTCAAAAAAGAAAAAAGAAAGAAACCCCACAGAACTCAATAAGCGCTTATTCACTGAATGCAGAGGAAACTTCTGAAAGCAGGAAAGAAAACCATCTTCTTAGGTGAAAGAAGCCAACTTGCTCCTCCTTTCTACTCACCTTCCCAAGGCAGACCATTTGCTAGGTTGTAAAGGAGGCCTTGAGTCCTTACCCCACCCCCCAACACACAACACACACACACAACTTTGTGGTGTCCCACTCTCTACCAAGGCCGGGCTGCCTGGTCCTCAGCACCACAGATGGAAAGGGCAGAAAGGAGTGTGATTTTTCTATCCCCTCAGCTCAAGAACTGGTCCAGATGCACTCGTGCTCATCGCGGTGTCATGAGCTCTTGCGGGCAGGGACCACGACTGACTCAGCTTTGCCTCCGGAGAGCAGCTTGCACGAGAACGTGCAGAGGGCAGATTCCCCAAGAACATTTCCTGAATGAATAGCTTCCACAGTGTCCCCGGGAGGGGCCCCTACGTCCTGGAGTCTTGGAACTATGGCTTGCTAGTAGTTACTGGAATGAATGGACAGAGGCTTCCTGCAGTAATCTAAGGCAGAAATGTAACGCCACAGAGCCAAAGCTAATTGAAATCCAAATGGCATTAGAGGAATTAACCTTCCTTAGGAAACTTTCTCAGAAGTAACCTTCTAAAAGTGAGATTTGGAGGGGTGGTAAGAATGAGATTAAGGTACGTCCTATTGGGTCCTTAGGAGATCCCTTCTAAAGGGAACCAATAAAAAATGGTGTGTCACCATAACATGGCAGTGTTTCATTGATTCACTCCATTTAACACCTGTTGACTGAGGCAGCTGCTAAGTTTCAAACTCTGGAGATGCACAGTTGATTAAGACAGGCCCTACTCTCAAGGAGCTCATAGTCTTGTGTGGGAGAAAGACTTGAACATAGATTATAATTCCTTGTATAAGTGCGAAAAGAGATAGGCATTGGGGTTAATGGAAGCCCAGAGGCTGACACAAAAAAGGGAACAGTTAGAAACACAAGTACAAACACTCAGTGTAGGTCTTAACGAAATGTAGAAGAAGAAGAAG